CTGGGAAAACTAATAAAAAATAAACAACACAATAGCTAGTTGTTTTGTGTTTTTAAGTTAGACAACTTAAAAATGACAGTGTTTTAAATACTTTAGTTTATTGTCATTAATTCAAAATTGTTTTACTTTTGCAGCAACTTCGCAAAGTGTGGCTTTTCCCGTTTTTGTACGCATTTTCAATGTTGGCTGTATGTTGCGTGATTGCCGTTATCTATCGTCTGCAAAAGCGTCTTGGTCGTAAAAAGTCAATTGACATTGCTAGTGAGTTTGATGCTGCTTACCCAAAACTGCAGAAAATTCAGCAAAAAGCTCAACAAAAGGAAGCCCAAGCAAAGATGAACTCGGTTGTTGTTTCACCTCAGCATTGTAAGTGTGTTACTTGTTTCAAATATATTCAACTTAATTTTTGTGTTTACAGACAAAGAAAACTATCGTTTTTAAAATGAATTGGCATTACTAAAATCGCATGCGTGTCTGCTTCCACACTCAACTATTTTATACTAATTTAACTTGTTAACATTAATTTTTTATTTATTTAACAATTGCACACTACAAACAAATTTATTTATTTGTCAATATTTTTATTTTAATCAAAAGCATAACATTTTTTATAACACATGTGCAAATCATCAATTGTTTATAAATAATTTTATACTTTTATATTATATATTTATATTTATAGTTATATTCTGTAACTTCTTTCTTAGAAACAGTCTTTAAGCACAACAGCAGCAACTGCAGCAACAGCAACAGATCGCACTGCAACAGCAAATGCAACAACTAGGTTTGCAACAGCGCAATCCCAGACCAGGTCAACGACCACCGTACAATCGACACCTGTTCAAAAACTTGCCGAAATTTACTGGAGACCCTCTTGATTGGGTTGAGTTTTACAAACAATTTAAAAAACCGTTGATGATACTGACCTAGATCAAGTCTTTAAACTGGCTAATTTGCGAGAAAAACTTGATGACCAAACGAAGCAAATCATCAAGAACTACACGTCTAATGAGTACCCTGAAGTACTCCGAATTTTGGAAGAGAAATTTACGTCACCCGTTCAGATTATGCTTCATATCAAGCGCCACATTCGGACGTTGCCAAAAGCCACTGAGCAGCAATCAGTGGAAGAAACCCAAAAGTTGACTTGATCGCCTTAGATCAGTGTGCAGCCTTCTAGATCAACACAAATTAGAAAAATCTTTTGAACTTGAAATATTCCGAGATTTTTCATTAAAAATCCCTAAAAGTCTCTCAGATAAGTATGTCAAAACGCTCAAAGGAAAACTACCCTCTTTTCGAGACTATCTACTCAAAATGGAGCCTCTTATCAAACAAGAGAGAACAGAAGCTATCTACTACCCAAAAATGGCCCGAACCAGCTGAGTTCACTTTGATTTCAGCCTCGCTTTTTGTTCGCTGTGACTTTGTCGGGTAGTCATTCTCTTCTTCGCGGTTCCTTTTTTGGTGATTTGATGGGCAAAGTTGACATTTCAGACTGGTCCTCTCCTGCGGCGATCATTGTTGTCATCTTCATCGTCGTTGGGATCTCTGTTGGGATAAGCTACGAAAGCATTGAAGGGCTGTGAATGACCTGAGCTGGTGCTAGGTTCATTCACTTGTTGTTGTTGCTCTTGTTGGTTTCCCTCCATGTACATGGCATTTCCAAAACATTGTCGGGGGTAGCTTTTTTGAGGGTACCTTCGCCCTGATCGATTTCCTTGTGCTGAGTAGTTTGTCTGCTTTCCCGGGCAGATGATCTGGTTGTGCATTCCCTTGCAATTGAAGCAAGGTTTGGTGAATTTACACTGACTACTAAGATGGTCAGATGACATGCGCATAAAGCATAATTTATCGTTCCGGGCAATTTGAATTCGTTGGTAAGCTGAGATGAAAAACAAGACATTTTTAAATGTGTTGGTGAGCTGCAGTTAGCACAGGGGTAGGCGATCTCCTTAGGGTCAGGTTTGTTGAAACTTCCCCTACGGTTTAGTCTGTTGGAGAAATTGTTTTGTTTTCCTGAGTAGCTTCTTTTTGGTTTGTTGAAAGGGTTTTTTCTTTGTTCCAATCCAGCTTGTATGTGCTGGTGGCGGTGTGGTTTTAGCACTGACTGCTCGGACCAAACGGCGGTTTCTGGAATTACGCCAGTTGCTTGATCGGCTATCATCAAAGTGAACTCGGCTGGTTCGGGCCATTTCCGGGTAGTACATAGCTTCTGTTCTTTTTTGTTTGACAAATGGCTCCATTTTAAGTAGATAGTCTCGAAGAAAGGATAGTTTTCTTTTGAGCGTTTTGACATACTTGTCAGAAAGACTTTTGAGAATTTTCGATGAAAAGTCTCGAAAGATTTTGAGCTCGAATGACTTCTCAAGTTTGTGTTGATCAAGTAGACTACAGACTGATCTGAGGCGATCAAGAGCTTTCTGAGTGTCGCCTACTGACTGTTGTTGGGTGTCTCTCGGCAAAGTTTGAATATGGCGCTCAATGTAAAGCATGATTTGCTCCGGAGAAGTAAACTTCCCTTCTAGAATTCTGAGCACTTCCGGGTACTCATTGGAAGTATAATTCTTAATGATTTGTTTTGTTTGATCATCCAATTTCTCACGCAGGTTTGCCAGCTTAAAGACTTGCTCCAGATCTGTGTCGTCAACGATTTTTTTTAAATTGCTCGTAAAACTCAACCCAATCAAGAGAAAACCTAGTTGTTGCATTTGCTGTTGCAGTGCGATCTGTTTTTGTTGCTGCAGTTGCTGCTGTTGTAGTTGCTGTTTTTGCCGTTGCAGCTGCTGTTGCTGTTGTAGCTGTTGTTACTGCGGTTGCAGTTGAGGCGGTGGCGGCTGTTGTGGCGGGGGGGNCGGAGTGCTGTTCTGGGGAATCTGTCTAAGATTAAGATTCTGGCCAATCATTCTCACATCTCCCATTTGATATGAATCAGGAGAAAAACTGATTGGTGATAACGATTGTCGGTGCTTTTCTACACCACAGCCTGGGTGCATTTTTCCACGGTGGGTTGCTGTGATTATCGACTCGTTAGCAGTCGCGTGTGTCTCAAGGTCTTCCACCTCGCTCGAGTCTCCGAACAAGGCTTCAAGCATGTTATGATTAGGTTTTATCGGCAGTTTGTAGATGAGCTTCTTTGAGTTTATCGCTTTGACATATTTAACGGCACGATCGAGAATCAAGTCGTCCACTTCTGAAAGTTCTTTTGAAACTTGAGCGATCTCCTTTCTCACAAAATGGATGGTATTTTCAGCCTCATCATCATTCTCGAGAGATTTTTTCATACTTCCTCACCATCGATAAAGGTGTGGCGGGCTTGTCTTCCACTTTAAACGGCACGACGTAGTAGGTGTAGGCGCCATCTTCTCCTTCTTCTTTTGCACAGAAGTCAAAAGCCAAGTGCAGTTATATTTCCTGCTCCTGCTTCGGTTGGTGGGTCATTAGTTGACAGATGAGCTGTTGTCAACGGGTCGGAGACGATTTTTGCTGCGTCATCAGTTTCTTTAACTGCAGTCTTTGTTATTGTGTCAGCAATGTCATCAGTTGCAGTGGCAGTGCGGCTATGCCTGTCTGCTTGATGTTAGCGAGTTGCTCCTGCTCCAAGGGACGATTCTGGTTGTCTATTTCTATCTGGGCAGGGGGAACATTTTGAGGCACCACAGTGGTGTCCACGGTGTATTTGCTAGTGATGTTCACATTAGTGGTAATGTAGCCAGTGTTTTCTTCAGTTTGCAAAGGTGGAAGAGTGACAGGACCTCCGGCAGTTTTCGGGTCTTCACGCTCAAGCGGGATGGAGTCGGGGTCTAGTACACAAGGTTGTGGGTCATCGGCTACCAGTACAGGGCGGAAGTCAGGCGGCAGAGATTAAATCCCTATTCCTTCGGCAAAGGGGTCTTTTCGGTGTATATACCGTAGTTTAGCAAGATGGAAAATGAAAGCAGTTCGAGCCGTTTCATCACCTAATGCTTCATCATCTCCAACATCAGTGACAGTGATGTCTGGAGGGTTTAGCGGATCAGTTGTTGACTTTTCTTTAAGTATGGCAGTCGGTTATGGTTTTGTTCCGGACAAAATGATTGGCAAATTCGTGTCTGTTGTTGTTTTTAGTATCGAAAACACCAAATCCAATGAGCGATTCGTGCTCTGCTGGGCCGGTCTCAGTTGGCCAGTTGATGTGTCGGTTCCGGTTGTTTCAGTTGCAGTTAGGCCAGAGGCAGTTTAAACGGTGGCATTTGAGTCAGTTACAGTGGCAGCTGGGCCAGTTGTCCAGTTGTAGTTGGGTCAGTTTCGGTAGTTGAAGATTCTGCGATGGTAGTAACAGTGGGTAAAGGGGCAGTAGTTGTAACAATAGTTTTACCTGGTTCAATAGTAGCAGTCGTAGTTGTAGTGGTAGTTGTAGTAGCGGTGGCTTCAGTGCCAGTCAATTACTTAGTGACAGGGACATCAGGGCCTGTCGATTCAGCGACTTCTTTAGTCCCTTCACTTTTAAAACCGGGCACAATGGTTTTGATCGATTCGACGAGTCTTTTTCGTTTTGGTAGTTTTGGTGAATTTGAGGATTCCTCCGTTTTCTTCATTTTCAGCTCGGCCTTCTTGGCTTTCTCTTCGTCGTAATGACGGCGTTGCATGGCTATGTAGGGCAAGAATGTGAAGTAGCTCGCTATTTCACTCCGTTTGTGCAATAGTGACAATACAGCAAAAACCAGTGTAAACTAAAACTGTAAAAAAGTGCAAAAAGAGATAACAGAACGTGAAGAAAGGGTGATATGATGATTTTTTCCTTCATATATTTTTAATAAACTTTTTATTAAAAAGTTGTTGTGATTAATTTTAAATACATTAAATTTAAGTATGTAACATTAGGCAAAAACAATGCTTAAGCAATGGCTAAGACAACGGAGTGGGTCAGTATGCAAAACTGCCAATTTTAGAGAAACAAACATAAAATGACTACCAAAACAAAGCAAAACATAAAATTAATATAGTAGGCACTTTTATATTTAAACACCGGTTATCTTTTTGATCCAGTTTACATAGAGGCCTACGCGAGTGTTCACCTCCGGTTCTTCCGGTTCAGCGCAAACTTCTCCCCAGCTAACGATGCCCCAGAGTTCATTTTTATTAGCACTACTGACGCCGCTGCCACTGTCACCGTAGCAAGCAGATTTACCGCCGTATTTGAAGTTTCCAACGCAAAACATTGTTTTAGTTATATCGTCAATGTGGCCAGTTTGACATATTTCACGACCGACAACTGGTACTCGGATAATTTGAAGGTGTTCAGGAATATCCTCATTTTCGTTTGTTTCAACGCCCCAACCTGCAACCTTGACGTAACTGTTTGGCATTGGGTCATGACCTTGAACAGGCAGGTGAATGAGTGCTGCGTTAGCAGTGCCCAGTTCCATTGATGTAGCTGTTTCAATGAGCGCTATGTCATTTTCTTGTGTCACCGAGTTGTAGTTGTGGAGTATCACCCGTTTCACTGAAACAAGTTGACCGCCCGAATTGTGCTTAAGGCTGTTGTAGCGAACAGTAAATCGACTAGGATCATTGGAAGGAAAACAGTGTGCAGCAGTGACGATCCATTTTGGTGAAATGATAGAGCCACCTAAAAAAATTTTGTTTTAAAAATGAAAATTAAACGCTATTACTTTGTTAAAATATGTTTTGAAAAAAACACCCCCAAAACTACCACAAAAATTACCACAAGTATGATAGTTATTTTCTTGAATGGACACTTGATAGGGTGCATCACCGTCCTTGGCGTCATTGCCGCCGATCATATAATAGCTAAAGTTGTTAGAGAGATCAACTAGAGTAACGCTAGTCAGTAGAAGCAAACAAAACACAAATAGATGTTTCATTTTGTATTTAAAAAATTTAAATTGTGTTTGAATTTATCATCAATCAGACCTATCCTTATATACAAATTTTAAAAAAGATATTTGTTAAATCAACAGCTAAAATAAACATTGACAAAAATCTCATTAATGAATTATATGCCAGAGTTTAATAATTAATTGTTTATTTTTCCAATTAGCTAATTAATTAGTTTATTGTTTTAAATGTTTTTATTATATTATTAATTAAAATATTTTTGTTTGTTTTTAGTTGCAAATGGTAAAATATTTAATGTTGCCCACAATAATGTTTTTGTTTTTTAATTTGTGTGCATATTATTAAAATAACTTTTTATTTTTTAAATTAAAATTTTTGTTAAAAACAGTACAAAATTAAAATTTGTTAAAATAATTTAATATTTAAAAAGCAATACAATTGACCAGTATGAAAAATAATTAAAATAAAGAAAGCAATTGCGTTAAAACAGAATAAATAGTTCTATGCATCTAGCTCGTCAGTGATTGCACCGAGAGATCGAGCCAACAAACAACTGATGCTGGTGGGAAAAACAGTAAACCTTTTTTTATCAAATAAAAATGCCCAGTGTTCAGGCTGGCTCAGTAGCTGTCCTCCTCCGGAATGGCGTTCTTCTGCAAATCAAGCTTGCTCGAGGTTAAATTTGAAGACATTCCGGGGCCGCCACTTTCCCCCCAGTTGCCATTGTTGCTGTTGCTGCCGTTGGCACCACCGCCGTTGACGTTACCACCGCCGTTGACACTTCCGCTGTTAATCACCATCACTGAAGGGGGCACCACCAGGCCGGCGGCCACCTGCTGCTGCAGAAAGCTGTCATCCTCCTCCTCGTCCCACTCAAACTCATTGCCCTGCTCCTCCATGGCCCGTTGCAGGAGGACGCAGTCCACCTCGGTGCAGATGTTCATCACCAGCTGGTTGAACTCCTCGTGGTTGTCCGCGTACACGTGGTGGCCGGCCCCTTGGAGAATGTGCACATTGACCCGCTCGGCCGCCTGGTCGGCGGTGTCCGTGTCGCTGCTGGTGGCGGCGGGGGGCACGGCCAGTGCGGTGGCCGAGTTGGCCGCCGTCGCGAGGATGTACTTCGTCTGGAAGCCGGACTGTCGGTCGATCCAGCTGCGCGAGCCGAAGATGAAGCTGAGGGTAATGTGCGGCTCCAGGCCCATGACTCGCTCCAGCATGGGCATCCGCGCCCAGCCGGTGTGCGTGCACAGCTTCTTGAAGGCAATCTCGCCGCTGGGGCGACCGTGGGCGTTGCAGTGGTAGATGTAGTTCATGATCATGTCGCTGTCCTCCAGAGAGCCGGCGGCGCCCTCTTTGCCCTCGCCCTCTCCTCCTTCTCCTTCTCCTTCATCCGAGGAGGAGGAGGGCAGGTCAACCTCGCCGTTTTCGCCGTTCCCGTCACCTTCTGGAGTCGTGGCCAGCTCCGGCTCTCCGGCCAGCTTGGCGAACTTCTTGCGCAGGTCAGGTCGGAGGGACTTGAAGATCTTGGGCCCCCAGGGGCCGGCCGCCCGGAGACCGGCCAGCGGCGTGAAGACGTCCAGCAGGAGGCGGCCCATCAACTGCGCCCAGAAGGGCAGCTGTCGTGAGCTGGTGTAGTGGGTGCTGTTCCGGTCGCGGGTGTGACTGTCGGCCGGGTAGCCCCAGGGGTCGGCGAGGATGACGTGGGCGACGTGCTCCGGGTAGCGCAGGGCGTAGGCCGTGCAGAGGTACCCGCCGAAAGAGTGCCCCAGCAGGATGAACTTCTCAGAGAGGGGGCCGCCAATTGCCCGGCGCCACTTCTCAATGCTGTCCACCATGTACTCCTCCATCGTTTCCGCCTCCGCCTTCCGCTGCTGCAGCGCCGTCATGTTGCTGCCAAACTTGGGAAAGGTCCACTTGGGGCGGCTCGATTTGGCAAAGCCGAGCAGGTCAAAGGCAAAGACGTGTCGCTTGCCTTTCAGCGACAGCTCGTCCATGTTCAGCGACCAGAGGGCGACGCCGGCGGCAAAGCCGTGCACCATCACCAGCGGCAGGCCCTGCAGGTGGGCCGGGACAAACTGTTCGTCGAATGACTTGGCCGGTGGATTGGCGATGATCTGCGGCAACTGTTGTGAAGCGGATGAGGGCTCACTTTCAGCAGTGTCGCTTAGTTCCGCTGCACCAGTCATCGAAGCCTTTGGAGGCACTTCCATTGTCCAGATGAGCACATTCTCCAGGTCCCAGCCTTTGCCGATGTCCACGTAGTACGTCTTGTAGGGACATTTGAGATCTGTTGTTACAAAAAAGTGATTAGTTGATGTTTTTTTTAAAAAAAGTTGTACTACTCACAAGAGAGAATAGTGCTCTCCGCCTGGTCCAGCTCCTCCGGAGAGGTCGGCCGCCAGCGGAACAAATTGCGAAAGCGGTCACGCATTTGTACGGCTGCCTTGTAGTAGCGCGGAATGCGCGACAGTTCCAGAAAGCGATTCAGATCAAAGCAGTTCCGGTAGAGGGTGACCGCCAAGGAGAGCGGAAAGACGTTGAATGGAAAGGAAGGTGGACCGGCTGCTGCTGATGACTGGATTTGACTGCTTTCAATTAAATCGTCAACTTCGTTGTTCACTTCGTTTGAGGAGAAACGGTGGCCGTGACTTTGAATGTTGCTGCCGCTTCGAATGATCGGCTCGCCGCTGAAGGACGAAGAACGACAACAAGGGCGCTGACAGTGACTGTTTGACGAGGGATTCTGCAGGGAGCTCTTCCGCGAGGGAGGCGCTTTTGTTCGAAAAGGCGAGGTCAGTAGGTACTGCTGCTGAATCTGCTGCTCCGGCGGCTCGGTGATGAACGGCTCGGAGGAGGAGGAAAAAGAGGAGGAAGAATAAGAGGCTGATGCAAAGCTGTTGAAGAAGACCGGCGCGGGAAGAAAGGGCAGCACTCGCTGCAGGAGGAACCGTATGTAGGTGACGAAGAAGACCACCAGGTACTGCAGCAGGTCATAGAGCGACTGTCGGGAGGTGTAGTCGTCTCCGGCGGATGATGTCTGCTCGGATCGGTTTCGGTGCTGATGCTGGTGCTGATGCTGATGCTGATTGCCGGAAGAGGATGAACTGCGAGTCCGGTAAACGGTATAGGATGAGGGGGCAGAGTGTCGCTGGCTGCGCTGGACTAGTGCAGTATTGCCGCTGCTGTTGACATTTGTGGAAGGCTGCTGCTGCTGCTGCTGCTGAGCTCGACTGTTGTTGTTGCTGTTGATCTCCGACGACGAGGACGACGGAGGCAACTTGGTCGAGGCAGAGGACGACGGGTAGCTGTCTACCATTATCTAAACACGGGAAGCACACAAAGTCAGTCTACGGGAATGATAACGCCGACAAAACAACACACAGAAACAGATAGACAGAAAGACAATGACAGTATGGTAAAGAGTGAGTAGAAACGAGAAGTAAACAAACAGATTTGCTGACCAAGGTGGCGAAAAAGTGTGTTGTAAAGTGTTGTGAAGAAGAAGAAGAAGAGTGCAGATGTGCAAATGTGTGTTTTCGGGGAGCAACACGTACACAGGCGCTCAAATAGTAATCAAATAGTAATCAACAACAAAAGTGCGTAGACACTGGTGCTGCCGCGGCTGTTGGTGGTGGCTTTCTTTTCTCTTAATACACACAAACTGATGAAATTGCAAAGTGGCACTGTCTCTCTCTGACTCACTGCTGGCAAATGATAAAAGAAGTGAAGAAAACAGGCGAAGGTTTGGCTGCTGATAACAGTTGTCTGCTGAATGTGTGCTGGGATGTTCTTGCCACTTACACACAATTGCTAACACAGATGACACTGACTAGGGCGACTAAAACAATGTACGGGTGAAGTGAAATCTGCAAGTGTTTTCCCTTTCTTCAAGTGTCACTTGTTATACTGTTCACTGATAACTGCTTCACTGACTCGATGATGGGTGGAGCTGGTGTTGAGAGGAGGGTATCACAATGGCTTATCAACGGTTGTCATTTCGGTCATCTGAACGATGCACAAGTCGCAGTGTTGTAGTGTCTGATTGCTGGTAAGAGTGAGACAGTGTACGACAGTGCCTGTACAAGTTCAGTTGATTGAAAGTTCTCTAGTGTGCTGCCTTCTTCTGTCAGAAAGTGAGTTCAGCTGTAGCCAGAAATAAGTTGCGCCCATTGCCAATTAGGTTTGCCTAGTAAAAGCCAATTAATTAATTGTTAAAACATTGAGAAATTGTTATCTTACCGATACTTTATGGTGTTGTTTACACAAAAAACAATTTCCTGAATCATTTATCTGCACAGAATAAATAAAACTAAAATTAGTAATCATGTTTTTATTGCCAGAAAATTGTTTGCAATGAATTTTACTAACAATAATTTTTCAAATTTTATTGGTTCAAACATAAAAAGCATTTATACATTTAAAGCTAGTGAAGCAATGCTAAACTTGACAAGGTACAGTTTATGACGCAATAGTCAGAAATTTACAGAAAACAGTGTTGCACGCACGAATGCCATTACCAATGACTGCTTAAACGCCTTTAACAATTTTGATTGACTGAAAAAGTCAGGACGCCAGGTGAGTCAGAAACGAATCGATGACTAGAGATGCGTAGAGGTGCACAGGCACCCATTGATCACATAACAACAACAACGGCAGCAAAAATGCAGGCTGGAAGGTAGCACTACAGAAAGATTTCACTTTTTTGTTCTTGTCCAAAGGTATGCCTGAACCGTCGAAGGTGATTGCAGTTCAGTGATACTGCTGTTGCTACTACTGCAGCTGATGGTAATGGTAATGGTGATGATAATGATAGTGGTGGTGATAGTGTACTGCAGGTTATGACAATGAAAAGAAGACTACTGACACAATCTGAAAAAGAGAGTACAGCAGAGCTCGCACAGTGCCTGCACCCGTTGCTCATGTGATCAGAGTGAGCTCTGCCAGA